AGGAATATTTTTATTCGTGAAAATTTATCATCAGTGCTGAAAAGACACAAGAAACAGGTCCGAAAGTCGATGATAAAAGTTGGAGGAATTTCGGTCGCCGGAAAGGGATGGATGAATCTGATGGATGGAAACACTTGACCGAGCCAGTTAATTTGCAATCAAGTATTAGATTTGTTAAAAAACAGTCAATCTACGATTTTAATAAATAAAGGCATATTTATGATGAAAACACAGAGTCACTGGCGACAGCTTATTGTTACGACAACGCCGAAGTGTATGTCAGCTGTCCGTGGCATGATTGCAATGCTGTGATATTTTCCAACAGATTTACACATTTATTGTGAGTAGAATTCAATGTAAAAATCATAGTTTTTCACGGAACTTTAACTAAAGGTCTACCCAAAAGATAAGGATAAATTTTATAGACTCATTGCAGCTGACAAAAGTGACATAAATCTTGTAAACAAAACGCTAGTTTCTATGTGATTATTTCTAGTACACACTCAGGTTAAATCGATACCCAAAAAAAAAAAAAAAAATGTACGAAATACTCCTTAACATTGTAAATAAAATAATCATTATTTTACTTGCTTATTTTGTTCATTTTTATACATGAAAAGCAAGTAGAGCAAGTCATTTTATTATGAATGTACCGGTAGAGATCATTGCGCCATGTGATTAGGTCACGTATTGACCTCTAACTCTTCATACAGAATTGAAGATATTGTTCTATGTATGTTTAAATAATGGAGAGATACCACAAATGTATATATATAGGAATTATTTCTAAATATACTGAGTTTTTAATGCCTACATATCTGTTATGTATTCAATTTAAATGAATTTGTTCCTATCAGAGATTAAATACCGTAAAGTTAGATTTGAAATACCTTTTTTACAAATGATAAGAAAATGTGACTTTTGCTTTATGATGCCCGAGTTACAACAAGTTTTATAATACAAGATTAAGCTTTCACAGTATTTGATTCCTAAAATCTTGCCTGACTCATCCTCGCGATAGAGTGTCTTTCACATGATAGTCCATTTCCTGTTATGGTGATATCATATGGAATAGCCTTAATCCGAAAGGTTTCAGGAACGGAAATCCTGACCAGAAAGAACGGGGTTTGGTCATCCTGGAGGGGTAGCTGAAAGCAGGTCATGTTGTCTCCGTCTAATGCCCTTATCATCCTTAGTTTAGTGTCCCCAGAATGGTCATTAAAAACATCAATGTGATCCACACCTGAAAAGTATTCCGACGAAACATTTGGTCGTAATAATTAAGACAAAGGCATTTTAGGTTTCGTCCTATACGCAGGGCACCTGATCCCACTTAAATTCTGATGTCTGAGGTCTGTTTTTTCTTGGCTCCAGATTTGCGTTGTTAAATATGGTCTTCTGAATTCCAATGCTGTTCGTAATCTCCATATACTCAGGGGTAGTAAAGAAGCATACAAAATATTCTACCTTGACTTAATCAGTGCTACATGATGACGTCATAGTAGGCAATATGACGTCAATTTAAGAACACAAGTTTTTGTAACATTGGTATTTAGAGATGTAATTTAACTCTAGAAAATGAATAGAAACGTGTAAACATAAACACAAATAAAATGTTTTTATTTTGTTATGCTGTTTCAGTCATTTTGATTAAAATTTACCACCGATGACGTCATATGTGTATATCAAGTAACTTGGGAATTGATCATGTCGTGTAAAGAGAATTTGGCTAAGACGGCATGTACAAAGATACATAAAATGGAGTTTAAAAGGAAATATCGTGAATATTATGTGAAATTCATATGGAGTTCAGTCAATTAAACAGGTATGTTAATTTATTTTCATCGATTATATTCTCTTTCGAAGACAGTCAGCTATATACGTATCCCGGTCGGCCTTTCCTCTGTCATTTGTGACATAAATAATGCAACAGAACAACAATAAGCTGGATATTTCAAAACATCAGATTTGTACAGATGGAAAGTTTGCCTTCTGACAAACTTGGAAAGTGCTGCTAGAATCTTGAGTTATGCATGGTTTTACGAAAAATCGCGGTTCACATGTATAACATTCAAAACATAGGGTAAGGTTTCGTGCGAATGTGTGGAATAATTATTTTACTGACAGGACAGTGGGATTCTAGCAGCATTTTTTAGGGAAAATAAATGTTTTTTCAACTATATTATTTAATCGAAGACATTATAAACTCCGGAGTATTGTTGTTCTGTTAGCTTTTTATCAAGGAAAATTTCGCTATTAATAGAAGTCACGTAATGCCGTGGCGGTGATGCACGTCTTTGTATTAGACACTCTTTTATCTGTGTGCAATAGTAAATAACAGTTTACATTTATCAGCGGTTTGGGTAATTTATCGAACTTAATTTTCTTTAAAAAGTCTAAATTTCCCGAGAAATGACTTATATGCTTCCTTAACATACCTGCGTATTTCATTGATAAAATGATAATATAATTTCAATGCTCTACCTTTGCACAGTACGCTGGACAAGACTGGACTTCCGGCTAAAATGAGAAAGAGGCAAGCCTTTAAATCATACGTAAATGTATTTTGTTCTTGGAATGCAGCTTTTGTTGATTTTTTTCTGAAGCTTATAGCTATATAAACATTTAAAAAATATCCCATGTCATTATGGTGAGTTCGACTTACAGAAAGCTTAGAGTCCAAAGAATTATCAACAAATTAATCCTGTATTATTCATTTTTGAAAAAATCCAATAACGAGTTAAGAAGTATAATATTCTGAAATAAAGGAGGATAAGAATATTGTAAATTTTCATCATTGTAAAAAGTTTCATCTTTATTTAGTAAAGAAATAGATATGGTTTCAGGTAATGTAACATTTTTACTTTTTTAATTGTACATGGAAAGCTACTTCGTTAAAATGTTATACACGTACCTTTACTTGGCTCCGTAGTAGGTTTACTTGGTGCATATGATACATCTTTACTTGTCTCAGTAGAGGGGATATTTGGTAGATATGTTACATCTATACTTGTCTCAGTAGAAAAGTTAGTCGGTAGATATGTTACGTCTTTACTTTTCTCAGAAGAGGGGTTAGTAGGTGGATATGTTACATCTTTATTTGTCACAGTAGAGGAGTTAGTCGGTGGATATGTTACATCTTTACTTGTCTCATTAAAGGAGTTAGTTGCTGGATATGTTACATCTTTACTTGTCACAGTAGAGGAGTTAGTTGGTGGATATGTTACATCTATACTTGTCTCAATAGAGGGGTTAGTTGGTGGATATGTTACATCTATACTTGTCTCAGTAGAGGGGTTAGTTGGTGGATATGTTACATCTATACTTGTCTAGTAGAGGGGTTAGTTGGTGGATATGTTACATCTTTACTTGTCTCAGTAGAGGGGTTAGTGGGTGGATATGTTACATCTATACTTGTCTCAGTAGAGGGGTTAGTTGGTGGATATGTTACATCTTTACTTGTCTCAGTAGAGGGGTTAGTAGGTGGATATGTTACATCTTTACTTGTCTCAGTAGAGAGGTTAGTTGTTGGATATGTTACATTATACTTGTCTCAGTAGTGGGGTTAATTGATGGATATGTTACATCTATACTTGTCTGAGTGGAGGGGTTAGCTGGTGGATATGTTACATCTATACTTGTCTCAATAGAGGAGTTTGTTGATGGATATGTTACATCTATACTTTTCTCAATAGAGGGGTTAGTTGGTGGATATGTTACATCTATACTTGTCTCAATAGAGGGGTTAGTTGGTGGATATGTTACATCTTTACTTGTCTCAATAGAGGGGTTAGTTGTTGGATATGATACATCTATACTTGTCTTAGTAGAGGGGTTAGTTGGTGGATATGTTACATCTTTACTTGTCTCAATAGAGGGGTTATTAGGTGGATATGTTACATCTATACTTGAGTCAGTAGAGGGGTTAGTGGTTGGATATGATACATCTATACTTGTCTCAGTAGAGGGGTTAGTTGGTGGATATGTTACATCTATACTTGTCTCAGTAGAGGGGTTAGTTGGTGGATATGTTACATCTATACTTGTCCTAGTAGAGGGGTTAGTCGGTGGATATGTTAAATCTTTACTTGTCTCAGTAGAGGGGTTAGTTGTTGGATATGTTACATGTACACTTGTCCAGTAAGGGGTTGTTGGTGGATATGTTACATGTACACTTGTCTCATGAGGGGTTTTGTTGGGTTGAAATTATACTTGTCTTAGTAGAGGGGTTAGTTGGTGGATATGTTACATCTAAACTTGTCTCAATAGAGGGGTTAGTTGGTGGATATGTTACATCTATACTTGTCTCAATAGAGGGGTTAGTAGGTGGATATGTTACATCTATACTTGAGTCAGTAGAGGGGTTATTTTGGATATATCATCTATACTTGTCACAGTAGGGGGGTTTATTGTTGGATATGAAAATCTTTTTGTCTCAGTAGGGGGGTTATTGGTGGATATTTTACATCTTTACTTGTCTTAGTAGAGGGATTAGTTGGTGGATATTTTACATCTTTACTTGTCTCAATAGAGGGGTTAGTTGTTGGATATTTACATCAAATTTTTCCAGTAGAGGGGTTAGTTGTTGGATATGTTACATCTTTCTTGTCTCAATAGAGGGGTTATTAGGTGGATATGTTACATCTATATTTAGTAGTAGAGGGGTTAGTTTTGGATATGATACTCTTACTTGTCTCAGTAGAGGGGTTAGTTGGTGGATATGTTACATCTTTACTTGTCTCAGTAGTGGGGTTATTAGGGGGTTTTTACTTTATACTTGAGTCAGTAGAGGGGTTAGTGGTTGGATATGATACATCTATACTTGTCTCAGTAGAGGGGTTAGTAGGTGGATATGTTACATCTATACTTGTCCTAGTGGGGGGGTTATCGGTGGATATTTACATCTTTACTTGTCTCAGTAGAGGGGTTAGTTGTTGGATATGTTACATGTACACTTGTCTCAGTAGGGGGGTTTAGTTGGTGGATATGTTACATGTACATTTGTCTCAGTAGAGGGGTTAGTTGTTGGATATGATACATCTATACTTGTCTTAGTAGAGGGGTTAGTTGGTGGATATGTTACATCTAAACTTGTCTCAATAGAGGGGTTAGTTGGTGGATATGTTACATCTATACTTGTCTCAATAGAGGGGTTAGTAGGTGGATATGTTACATCTATACTTGAGTAGTGGGGGGTTTAGTTGTTGGATATGATACATCTATACTTGTCACAGTAGAGGGGTTAGTTGTTGGATATGATACATCTATACTTGTCTCAGTAGAGGGGTTAGTTGGTGGATATGTTACATTTTTACTTGTCTTGTGGGGATTATTGGTGGATATGTTACATCTTTACTTGTCTCATGAGGGATTAGTTGGTGGATATGATACATTTTTACTTGTCTCAATGAGGGGTTAGTTGGTGGATATGTTACATGTACACTTGTCTAAAAGGGGGGTTATTGGTGGATATGATACATTTTACTTGTCTCAATAGAGGGGTTAGTAGGTGGATATGTTACATCTATACTTGTCTCAGTAGAGGGGTTAGTGGTGGATATGATACATCTATACTTGTCTCATAGAGGGGTTAGTCGGTGGAAAAGTTACAACTTTACTTGACTCAGTGGTCGAAACAATGATTGAGGCTGTGTTGTGGTCTAAACGTTACTTCCGATGATGTTTCACCTGCCGCTGCATATGAAGTTGTGATTGCTCCAAAGGTGTTATAAATGTTGTTGTTTCTGAAAAAAAAAAAACCCCAGGTTCTGCCATTATTTACCTCCTGGGTAAGACTAATTATTTTCCCTAGAACAATATAATGTAACGTTATTTTATTTCTTTCTTTATAAATAATTAATCGAATCATGTAACCCTTACCTTTTTTTAGCATAATCCATATACCAGTTAATAATACACAGTTCTACGATTTGTATGAATGAAAGTCTTACCATTTATAATTTTTTTCTGAAAAAAAAACAAACAAAAAAATTAAAACACAAGGCATAAAAAAGATTAATACCTGTACCTGTATATCAAATGAAACCGCTTCATTTAAAAAAACACAATCCGTTAATACAGATTCTTTTAATTTTTAAAACTTATTATCAAACCAGATAATCTAATCTAATTACCATGATATCTATATTGCACATTCCAAAAATTCATAAAAATTCTTAAAACAAAGATGCATAGCGGGTTCCAGTAAATGTTCAACCAAGCCTCTTTTTTTACTCCTCATTAATAAACATAAATGAAGGAGAAATTTGTACTGTGCAACAATATACTTGAGATGTGGATTGTTAAAAATTCCAAGGAACTTTTGGAAAGTCTGACATCACAAAATTTTACCAAATTTAACAGCATTAAAACTTGCAACTTTTATCATTATACAATTTAAAGGTAATCTAACAACCAAGCTTTATAAGAAACGTGACGACTTTAACTTTTTTTGTCAACTTCCCTTACTTATGCAGTAATATACTTCAACACTGCACACGGGGATTATATCTCTCAGTTGCTTTGATACGTTAGGAATGTTTTACGTATAAACAATTCTTAAAACGATGTAAATTATTGACAAACCAGTTGATGAAAAAAGAATATCAGCATTTTTTTTAAATCATCATTTTTTGGCTATGGGCGATACAATGACCTTGACAGCAAATAGAGTTTATCATTGAGTCATATGATGCCCGACGTTTTTTTTTTTTGTACAAATTATTAGGCCATTTTATACACACTAAATTGTCGACAGATTTTTACAGAATTTCCAATTATGACAAGGAACACACTGGTTTTTTCCGGTGGAAAGGATCTTCACTCCTCCATGACACCTGACCCCATCTCTGATGTTTTAGTTGTCCTTGCTTGCTTTCTCCAATTTGTATTGTATTGTTTGTATTGTATTGTATTGTATTGTTTGATGAACTTTTAAGCTGAAATACTGTTCGTCATCTCCAATTGAAGTCAAATGCTGACGATTTTTTTTCATACAAATTGTTAGTCCATTATTTATACATGAATTGACGACGGATTTTTTCCTTTATTTTGATCATGACGGGGCCCGGGGTGCCCGGTGGCGGGGATGCTCACTCCTCCATGGCACCTGATCCACCTCGGATTTTTGGAGTCCCTGTTTGCGCTGCTCTTATTTTGTATTGTTCTATGGACTTTGAGACGGAATCTGTTCTTTATCTCTATATCCTTCTTCATGTTTCCCAAATTTTGGTCTTTTGACCGGGCATACAGTACTTTTTTGGAGCCAAAAATAAAAATTTACGTAATGTTAATTTAAAAGCCATATTTAAAACCAAAAAGTTTTTTTATGGAAAAATTTTAAATTAATATCAAATTATGACATTTTTAATCGTTTTCATACCAAAACAATATCAGAATCACATAATTCCACTGGTTCAATTTGGGGGAACTCGCCGCAGTTCTTTACTTCAATGTTGTAAGTTCTGTTACAGTCAGCAGTATATCCAACCTGACAGGCGGATACCAATCCAGTTTTTCCTTCACTAAATTTCATCTTATATAACAAGAAATGCTTTACACGTTTATGCACAAACAACATAAAAAAAAATTTACTTTGGAAAATGTTGGAATCATAAATTGTTGGGACAAATTTTAAAAATCTTAGTAATTATTGTGAATCAAAATTGTTTGATGCAAAAAAAGGGTCAAAATTTTTTTTAAATAATTCACGGAAAGCTTAATCAAAAACAGTTTCCCCTTTTAAAATAAAGATGAAAATTATACACATTCTTTTATTGTCATTTATTTTGCATTTTTTTTTTAAAAAGCGAGGGTTTTTTGAAAAGTTTTGATTTTTTTAAATGAACTGTGTATGATCCATGTCTGATTAAATAAAGCAGAATTTGTGAAAATTTGTGCGTGAAAAGAAGAAATCATTGTTTACCTTTAAAGTACATTTAAGTAAAACAACAACAAATTGCCAATTAACGATGGTAATTTCCAATTTTATGTCGATACGATATATCCTGTTGAGTCTGAGATTAAAGATACCACAACTCTAAAACATTTGTTCAAATTGGGTTTTTTTTAAAAAAGACATTTATAAATTAACAAACAAGCTCTAATTAAAATAAACGTGATGACTTTATTTTTTCTATCGTAACTTCCCTTACTTACAAATATGCAACAATATACCTTCATCCCTCTACGGGGTTTTAAAAATCTCATTTATTAGATACGAAAAATTATGATCTGTGTTTGTCAACAATTTCTAAAACGAGGTATATTATCAACAAACAAGTTGCTTAAACAAGAATATCAGCAGTATTTTTTAAAGTCATCATTTTGTAAATTTTATAGTTGATAGAATGACCTTGCCAGCAAATACAATTTATTAGGGATGTCAAAATATTTATTTTCCTTAGCCGAACATTTGATTGCATTATTCGAACGATAGTCGACTATTTGGGGCATTTTTGAAAAAAAATCTATGACCGGGTTTAATAAATCAAAAGCCCTCTTCGTAAATCTATGTAAAAAGTAACATTAAATGCCTATACTGTGTGTTACACATCGATATTCAGATGATCCTTAGGGGGGGATAAGTGGAAATGGAATTTTACCCAGCAATTGATTCTCAAAAATGTATGATTTTCGTAAATTACATTCAATAATTGGTCTGTAATTCTTTCTTCTAGTACGCAAAGAGAATTGTCAGCAGTGTTTTTAAAGGTTATTTGAAATAAAATGGAAAAGAGGAGGAGATTATTGTTTTAATAATTTTGAAGTTTCAAAACTTCACGGATATGCTGTGTTCCTGTTGCATAATTTTAACATTCTTAGAGGTTATATAATAAATAAATTTATAATTGGTATAATCCAATTAATAATTTTTAAAGTCCAGCAAAGCGCTCATAATTTTTCAATACAAAAAAGGTCAGTTTAAAAAAAATTATCACTGTATGTAATTATTGTTCTCTCTATGTAAACAATGTGGTAACTTTAATTTTTAAATACGGTGACTGTGTTTAAGCTCTTATTGTCTGAGGATGGATCTATAATGGTTTGAGGAATGACGCTTTCCAATTTTAGTTGAAATTTTTAACACCTACTTTTTTTCATTTTTTTAAAAATTCGAATTTCGTTTGATTATTGATGTTGGGCCATTTGACTGATAGTCAAATGATATTCGTTGACATCCCTACAATTTATCACTAGTCATATGCTGACTGAAGTTTTTCATACTCATTGTTTGTTCAAAATAAATCACTGAATTAACGGGTTTTTAATTTTTTCCTGATATAACTGGGCTCACAGCTTAGGGTATTACTCCTCCATGGCACTTGATCCTACATGATGTTTTGGAGATCCGTGTTTGTTCTGCTCCTATTTTGTATTGTTTTCATTAAAAATCTATATCAAAACATTTATTTTGTGTTGTTTTGGATGATGTAAAAAATTTTAAAAAGATGTTTCTTTTGC